ATAATGAGTCAGACTGAATTATTTACGATCAAAGGGTTCCTTTGGGTGTTCTAAAGACTTCCCGTGGCGACTTGTACGCAATCGACCTTTTCTCAAGAATAATGGAATATTTTGAAAAAGGAAATAGAATAGAATCACGCTTGTAACAAAAATCAAATTGTTATAATAAATTCTTGTTTATTTTAATTAATCAACATGTGAAGATAGAGATTTCTATTAATACTGTATTTTTTTGTTCATAATTGCTGCATCGTCTATTCCTAATTTTAATAATCCCTCCGATGACGGTACACCTTTGCAGTAATGCGGGTGGTCCAGTAGCCTCCTAAATTAGGCTTGAAAGAAATACATGTTAACATTTGAATTTAATAATCTCACGATTTGTATACATGTAATAAAATATTAAAATAAATACTGTACTGTACATTAAGGAATGAACTAATTTCATCTTTCTCTTAGCTGCTTAAATAATCAGTTCAAAAAATAATAGCTTGTGACTTGACTTTAACTGTTTAAATAGTCATAAAAGCTCAAATAATGACATTGACAACACTGGTATTTATCGATCAATAAGGATATTATGTGAACTATGGATAAAGATATACGATAAATTTAACTTCAAAAATTTTAAGTTTTTACAAATTTTGACTTTCTAAATTGCAATTTTTAATCAATATGAACAAAATTTATCCTTTAAATTATAAGGAAGATTGAATAAACATACAACTTTTAAATTTAATTTCTAAAAATTAAACAACGAACATAATAAATTATTAAATTAAAATATAACAAATTTTAGCTTGTAATTTTACATTTCTAAAATACGGATGAAACTTAAAAATTTCTTGCAATATTAAATTAAATAACTAACAGATGACATATAACAAACTTTAACAACTGAAACATATACGTAACAAGTGTTAACTTTATATATTTTATAATCTTTAATAAAAATATAAAATTAAACGACTGATATGATGTATTATTAAATTTCAAAATTTGATTTTCTAAAACGTAACTAAAAACATTGGAAACTTGGACCAAATACATGCATACAACAATTTTAACAACAATTTTAACGTTCTAAATTTTCTAAAGATATAAAATTAAACAATACGTAGATACGTGATACGTACATGTACATTATCGGGAACCTACAACAATTTTTAACTTTCTAAAATACCATTGACACATGGTGCACTATTAAATAAACAAATTTTTTTCTAAAATATCGACAGTATGGACTGACTAAACATACAGCAAATTTCAACTTCTAACTATAATTTTTAAACTAAACAACTGACACAATGCATTATTAAATCTAAAATAAAATTCTATGACTTTGATACCTCTAACTGCACTTACTAGTTTCATTACTAACGCTAATGTAGCTACAACGATAAATAAATAATATATTATTCAACTAACAAACCAGTTAGCTAGCTAAGAATATCCAATATTGAGTGCTATTGCTCGTGATTATTTATGTATCCAAGCAACAATCGTTGCTTCTGAACAAGCTTTTTCGGTTGCTGGCAATACACTTACTCGCACCAAAAATCGTTTGTTACCTGAGACAGCAAGAGCTATTCTCTGCGTTAAAAGTTGGATTAAAATGGTATTGGTGAAAATTAGTGTTTATATTTCGAATTTTTACTTTTATCATACCTAAATTTAACATTTATAGTTCAACGTTAATTAGACGAATAAAAACAAAATTCACAATTTAACTGGTTACACGCAAACTGGTTTGAACGGTTCAATTTGGTTAAACCGAACCACCACAGAACATGGTAATATTGATATCAATCTTTGAGATCAATAATCCCTGTTTTTACTGTTACTGCAATTTATTGACATATTGTCTTCGTGAGTGGCTGTCAATAGTAAATGGTGACTCATCAGGTCGATTCATCAGAAAGTAGTCCGATCGAGTATGAAGAAAATGTAGGAGACATGTTATTACAGTTACGTACAATTATCGTTACGTATATACCAATTCTGGCCAGAAACTGCGCATATATAAATCGTCATCACGATCTACCCGTGACAGTATGTTATACATGCAGACTTTCATATGATTTGCTGATGTAAATCAAGTTTCCGATTTATATACTTTTGAAAACGTCACGTTTTCACTAATAAAAAATCACGTTAATATTCACTATGCAAAAGAATCCAGAACCTGACATACTTAGAAGACAAAAAACTTTACTATTTACTACTATTACCAACTCTATATATGTAATATTATGCTGAAAACAGTCAACGAAAAAAAAAACAAGCAAGATGTATAATTTATTTTATAATCCTTAAATCTAATAATGTGTATAAATGTGAATAAATACCAGTAGTTTAATTATAATATAGATCAAGGGTTGTAATGCGTCTAGTAAAGATAGTGATGACTGAAAATAGAATAGTATTACCGTTACTACGTATTTAAAATCTAAATAGAGTAACGGTAAAGCTTCGCTAATTTCTTTGATTGATTGGATTGGTCAATAATCATGCTTGGATCGACATAAATTAGCCAATCACATGAATGTCTTCCTATTATATATCGCTAACATTTGGTGCCGATCTCTCACCATTCAAGTTTGATAATTCACGTAATTCACCTAACTGTAAAATAAAATGGAGCTTGGCACAGAAATCGACACAAAAATCGACAGCGAAAATTCAATTTCTAATTTACCAGTCGACTGCTTTGCCAGAATATTGACTTTTCTCATCGATGATGAAAACACATTGTTTTCCGCTGCATTAGTTAATCGAACCTGGTGCCGACTCGCAATTCCATTCTTATGGAACTCATTCCATTTTATTCGTGATGATAGAGAAGGAAGATGTATTACAGAAACACTTATTAGATGTATGAATGACGAGGAACGTAATGCGATAATTAATTCAGGACTCAGATTAAAGAAATCTTATCCTCAACCACTTTTCTTGTACACTTCTTTTATCAAAAATTTTGATTTGAATAAGCTTAAAACAGTGGTTAGTTGGTACACTCACAATTCCTATAAAGATTATGTTGCGCGTGATAATTCAATCCGGCAAAATACATATGATAGTAATAACATCAATCAAATAGCCTTACAACTTCTCACACAAACATATAAACTCATCTTCCGAACTGCTGAAAATTTAGAAAGTTTCGACGTCACTACAAACATTCTTTCATATTTTATGCCGAACTTCACTTCCTCATTTCATACACCATCTGTTTTGGCAAAATTGAAAAAAGTCAAGCTTTCACGAAACGACGTATATGACGCATACGGCAAATACGAAGAATCGGAAAAAAATCTAGAAAATCTGAGATATTTAATAAATGCATTAAAGTTGCTGAGCCGTAATATCAGAGTTTTAGAAATCGATACCAATGTACTTGAATTAAACAATATTCATCAGTTTTGTGATTTACTCGAATTTCAACATAATTTAAAGCATCTTATCTTAAAAAATATTGGAGATGAACATGTTTCAATTATTCATGCTCTCCACCATCAGGCAAAATCTTTAGTTTACCTAGAATTCCGTTATTCTTCTCTCTCAATCTGGACAGTAACCTTACTTAAAAAATTAGGGATATTTACAAGAATGGAAGGCATAGCATTTATGGAGTGCGAATGGAACAGTAGACATGAAAATCTTTTTATTGATTGGTGGACAGAGTTATCACAATTTCCAACGAGGCTAAACAAATTATATTTTGATTGCACCGCCACAATAATTGATAAAATCATGATTCCATTGATAAAAATCGTTGGAAATAATCTAAAGGAGCTTAGAGTTCGAAATGATTGTACTCAACAATTGATCGAAGTCATTGCGGAACATGCGAAAAATATTTCTTCTTTGGAAATCTGGCTTAACCTTGCAGCAGTAGCAGCACCATTTCTTCAAACAATAACATCACTTCAAAGCCTGCAGCTTTTAATATTGATAAACCGCTTTGAACCCCATGACTCACTTTCTGATGACTTTTGGATAGAATTATCGAAAACAATGAATCCTGATATGAAATTCTATACCAATTTTATCTTAACTCCACACGCGTTAGCTTCTCTTCTATTAAATCACATCCAACCAAGTAACCAATATTTTAGAGTATTGTCCTGGAGCTTTTAACCTAGATTCTCAAATTTTTGTCAAGATAAGTAAACTTAAGGGTTGCTTTGGTATATCTCAAAGAATGGGTAATAACCAATTTTAATATAGCGGATAATTTTTTATGTTTTTCATTATTATTCAAATTCCATATTTTTTTCATTATTATTCAAATTGCATATTTTTCCTTAAAATTGATTGGTTACACAATAGTATAGATACAGTACTTTTTACTTTTTATCACTTATTTTATAAATAGTTTAATAAATTTTCCTGGTAACTTGAAAATTAACCGTATAAATTCTCACCATATGTTTTCTCAATCACAACAAAAAGAATTCTCACCTTTAAAGTGTTATTGCTGCAATAATTTTAATCTGATGTAAAAGGAGTTATTATGAGGCTTACCGCATAAAATATTAGGGATATATTATTTACATTATAACCTGACCTGATTGATATTCGCTCTGATTCCTCCCCTAAAAAAGTCAAGTGACAAAAGATATTTCCCTAAGCAAAATTCTCTTGTAGATTAAAATCTTTTTATGCTTGAAAAAATTACGAAAACATGTAAATCAGCTCTGTATGGGAATTCCTATCACTATTAATTTATTACATGATTTCGAATACTAACTAATAACACGAAATATGCATCAATACCTCATATTTTGTTTCAAACCTAGTTGCATGGATTTTATTGTACTGATTACAAGAATCTATTCTTCGCAAGAGTTACAGAATCTATTTGGTCTCGATTTTTTCGCATTAAAATTCAAACGTGACAATTATTACACTGGAAAGGGCTTTTTTAGATCATCCGTACATTTATAGTAGTTCACCCCGCCCAAAATAGATTCCACGTGTGCCCAAATAGATTTTCATATACGTATCAGAATCGTCATATATCGATATACGGATTAACGGATTATCAATGTTGTTCATCTCCGCTTCCCACGCTTATTTTTTTCGCGAAAATATCGGTTATCCGACATATACTCTTCTTATGTTGCTATTCCGTCAAGTTGGGAGGTTTCCTGGATCAGCACTTCTTTCCTTTCCTAAACTACTTTCCACAAAGACTAGGATTACGTCCAAATCAGCATCAAGCTTCACACCAGCTGAAGTTAAACTATTGAGAGTGAATTTCCAGCCAGCTTCTTTCGAGAATGTTATCCCTGCCACCGAGGATCCTGGTATGTTTTTTGTCTTTGCATTAATTAAAACTAACAATTAATTCACATATCATACAGTCACAGTTCCGAAAGAATATCTTCTTCCCGAAATCAACCGCCGTGCTGTCTCAGACCCAGATTTTAACGTTGAAAAGCTTGATAAAGTTTCGAATAATCGAGTCAAAACGTTCCTCGATAAAATGCATGATGTTGTGATGAGTGAAAAAGTGGTCACAGGCACATTGGAGTCTAAAACTGACACATTGGTGGACGATCTGCTTCGTATCGCCGACTTGAATGACTGGCCCTTGAAGTTAATGCTAGTAATTGTAGGAAAGCACTGTTTGTGAGGTGCTTAATTTTGCTAAAAGTTTGTATCTATCAAAACCCAGAAATCGTCCGCTATGTAGACTAGTCATTAAAGAAAACCAATTTGTTTCAGCAGACCCCGAATTTGTGATTGCTAATCGAAAATTAAGTATGGTGGCTATAGAGGTCAGAATCTTTAGTATTGATCTTCTTATTGTTTAATAAACCGTATTGATGTCAAAAAACCTTTTAACAGGACAAGCATATAAAAAACGTCTATGTACCAAGCGGTTACGGAGAAACACAAATTGCCGTACAGATTGTTGCCTGTGGAAATGAGAACACACGTGCCACTAGTCAAGATGAACTTATTGATCAAACCATATTTGCTATGCGCGTCATCTCAACGTACGTGACATTTTACAAATCATTCATCCCTGCAAAATATTGGTCCGAACTTTATTTTGGTCTACCCAAAGAGACATCAGTTAACGTTCAAAGATGGCCAGGGCGGAATGGTAGGCAGGAAGGTCTGGATTTAGTGGAACCAGATGGGAGACGAGGAGTGCTGGGAGCATTAACTAAAATTCGCCAATTTCTTCTGCGGAATGAACGTACAATACAAAATGTGACGACGAATGATAATACAGACAGTGGTAAAGAAAAATCATGAATAGGGCATAGATTTGTATTCTCATCTTAGAAAAATTACAGTGCTCGTCAGAAGTAACGGACCCCCCATAACTTTCCATAGATCATGTATAATGTACTGAAATTTTCCGAGCACAAAGAACATTACAAATGCTGCTCATGATACCTTTTATAGATTGGTATAGCTTCTATATCGAGTACTTTCACGTCCCAAATACATGTATAATCAGTTATTTCATAACACACATCTTAATATTAAATAATCTAACTCTTGACATCCAGTGATCCGATTTCGCCTAGTCGAGGTGAATCGAATGGTGATATTTTTTTCAAATAGATCACTGGACGTCGAAATATTGCGTCCTAAAGTAGCAGATTTGTTTTTTTAACATTAACAAAAATGAATCGGTCAA